AGTTTTCCCAAGAAACCAGTGGCGCCGGTGAGTAGCACACATTTTTCCTTGTAGAAATCTTGAATATCGCTTAAATTTCCCTGATCCATGTTTGGTTTACACTATTTTACAACGAATTCCAAAAAATAACTGCGATCAAACAATTGAATTGAAAATTATTAATTAATAATTTATGAGGTGTTTATACGCATTTCGAATATATTAATAAGGTTAAAAGGGTAGGTATATACGCAAAAGGATTAAACATAAAATTATCATGGGCAGTATTATCGTATGTATTTTTTTACGTAATCCTAAAAACAAGAAGTATTGGTTTACCTATGCATTAATTTGTTTACATGGAAATATGACATCAAACTGTTAAAAATGTTTGTCATTATTGGAATATAAATTTATTTATACAGTGTCATTTGTTTAATAATAATGTATTGTAATATAATATATATATTGGGTGCGGAATTGTGCGTATACACTATTTTTTTAATTGTTTAAAAATTTGGTACTTTAATTGAAGTTTTTGAGTTGTGTGACATTTAATTTTGGAGCCATTCCAAATAAAAACATCAAAAATTTAGATTTTGATAAAAAAATGAGGATGATCTTTTAGGTATATAATTTTTCGTATTTACTATCAAAAGATACCTACCCCAGTACACAGTAAAAAAAAATCAACTCTAAGCAACACTAGTTAGAGTTCACACAGGTCCACACTAAATAGTGTTGTTTTATAACACTACAATTAGAGATAATTTGTAGTGTAATTTTCCCCAAGTAAGCAAGTATGATTTAACACTATAGCACTGAGGATAAAGTAATTTTACACTGTATTAAAAAGTGTTAATTTACCTAAAATCGTGTACTTCTAACTTCCTGGATAAAATCCCATTTTTGTTCAGTGTAAATTAACACTACTTGGAAAAGTTCCAATTTTAGAAGTGTAAAATAACACTATTATTTGAGTAAAACCTATTGGTGGTAGTGAATAAAACGAAAAGGTAAATAAAGAGAAACATTTATTTGGAACAAAAATCTATGACAATTATCAAAATCGGAGCCTTTTAAAATATAATTTTATATTTGAGTCGTATGGCTGGCTTAAGCAAAATGGTTCCTTAAAACGTAAAAGTTTTAGATCAATGCAATGTTTTACTGGCAGTCAACTTGTAAGCAATGAATTATCTTGAGAATTCATCAGTAATCCATTTTTCTGTTATAAAAAATGGGTGATCCCATTGGTAGGCGGCTGTATGTCGGGGATTTACCACACGTGTACAAATTTTCCATAATATTAATAAAAATGTAGGTATAGGTTAATATAACAACCATTACGCTTGAAAATAAAAAGTAAATCAAGTGTGTATGTATTTATATTATTATAATAATAATAATAACATTATAATGTTACAAGTACCCGACCTACTGCTGTTAATTATTGATATATAATATAGGTCGGGTATGGACATTAGGGTGAGCCAAAAAAACTAACCTATCGGATTTATGGGTTAAAATGAACCTACATACCGAGCAAAAAATTTCCCTGCAAGGCAAAATTTTTTGCTCAATTTTAAAAGGTGTCGGTGAGCATTCTAAGTTTTCCATTGAAATAACACGTAAAAAAATCTTTTTTCATTAAAAAGACTATAACTTTTGAACCGTTTGAGATAAAATTTTTTACGTCGCGGATTCTTGTAGAGCATAAAATTTCCCAAAGAATCTATACCAGCATTATTTTTTTTAATTCAAAAATTCGTATATTTTAAAGCTTTGAAAAGTGTAAAAAATCACTAAAACTGCAGTTTTAGTGATTTTTTACACTTTTCAAAGCTTTCAAACATACGAATTTTTGAATTAAAAAAAATAATCCTGGTATAGATTCTTTGGGAAATTTTTTGCTCTACAAGAATCCGCGACGTAAAAAATTTTATCTCAAACGGTTCAAAAGTTATAGTCTTTTTAATGAAAAAAGATTTTTTTACGTGTTATTTCAATGGAAAACTTAGAATGCTCACCGACACCTTTTAAAATTGAGCAAAAAACTTTGCCTTGCATGCAAATTTCCCTGCAGGGAAATTTTTTGCTCGGTATGTAGGTTCATTTTAACCCATAAATCCGATAGGTTAGTTTTTTTGGCTCACCCTAATGGACATCCTTTTAACATATTGGTTTTTATTAAGTATTAAGGCTTAAAGAAAAAGGAAGTATAATACTTACCAAAAAATAAGAATGTCCCCTTATGGATTCACCGTAATTAAAATCTAACTGAACAAAAATGCGACACTTCCACAACGCGGTATCTCCGTATACTCCGTATACCGTGCACTGCGTAGGTAGGTACCAACCAAACAGTTTAAAATTCATTTCGGTTATTACCAGTCTATTTTCAGTCTATTTTGCCACTATTGGTTTAATTTAACTTTAATACAATGTGCACTAGTGGTGTAAAGAAAAAAGAGCTCTTAGTAACATCAAAAAAAAAAAAAAGAAATTGGCATGCACTGTAGTGTACATTTACAATCTGTAAGCATGGCAAATGCGTCTGGCAGGTGAAAAACTGAACATTATTTTTCAGTTTTTTACCTGCCAGGCGCATTTGCCATGCATACAGATGACTGACTTTTTTTAATGAACTTTAGTACACCTTACAATTCACAAATTGTGGATTGTGGTACACCCCTTGCCACTAAAACCATTTTTATCAGTGAAGAAAAACCCATCGGAAAACCCACTTAATTTCATATATACAGGATGTCCCAAAATTACCGATACAAAAACAAAAGAATAAGTAAAAAAGATCACAGCTTAGACACAGTAAACCACTTACAGAACAAACCACGCTAGCGTAGAAAAAGAAGTGTTCTTTGGTGGGAAATAGAACATGAGATAACCTAAAATGAATGGCTTCCAACTTGATAAATGCAAAATTGACATAACATTGATAGTTTTATCACCACCAATAATACTAGATATTAATAAATGAAATTTTGATTGTTTTTAAAGTTTTTTCACTAATAATATTTAAATAAATTATAATTTCACTCTATTTAAGCCTTTTATTTTATTTATTTATTTTTATATTGTTGGTACCGTTAATCATATGGCAAGTAATATACTTAAAATCTTTGAATTACCTTTAGTTACATTCTTGGTACATTTACGTTAGATGTTTGTTGCAAGTACTTATGTCATGTTATAGGTATGTAACAATACATCGATGTGCAATATTAAAAAATAATATATCGGCAATATACCTGGTATGTTTTCAACGAGATGTATTTATGCGACCTAAACAGAACATCGCACGAGCTCGCGTTTTGTATCGTGCTAGCTGGGACATTATATAACCGATATTGGAAATCCGCTTTGGCCCGAAGTTGTTTTAAATTATATTATAGGAAAGTTGAGGGAGATATTGAAGGAAAAAAAATATAGCCACCTAGTACTTAGTACGTAGTAGGTTTTCTAAAAGTGATATGTCACGATAAAGGTGTCTTAACGAAATTATTTTACATTTTAGCAACATGGCAAGCTATAAGCACAGCCCGACAAAATAATATCTCGTAATTGCCAGAGATAATATCTTTAGTAGGTATCGTCATCTATTATCATTCAGTTCAATGTTGCTAAATGTTTATTTGAAGTTGTCTGTATCCGTTTAAAACAATTATTATTACGCCGGGAAAAGAGTTTTTTAAAATTAAAATTAATAAAAAAATATTTAAGATCCAGAAGGTATGTGCCAAGAACGACTAGTGGGTTTGGCTATATTGTCAATAGAGAAGGATGTTGGAAAAGAGCTTCCCCTAAAGCAGGGAAAAATAATGTGTGATTTTTTCTTAAACGTTAATTTCTATATTAATTGAAGGGAGAAGCTGAACCACCCAAGTGAATTTTTAAGTCAAAATTTTCTACTATCCGGTAACACGCTTAAAAAAATTTTACCTAAAAATGCACTTGGGAGGTTTCAGCTCTAATTCCTTCAATTGGTTTTTCGTTTGATGTTTTATTGGTTTATTGCCGCTAAGCGCTATGATAATTTTCAAGAGTAAATTTTTAGTTTGTTTCCAGGAAATAGGTACTTAGGGGCGTAGAAGCGGGGGGGGGTGACAATGCCACCCAAATGATAAGGGGTGAGGGGGGTTACCTGATATAAAATGTACTCTCCAAATTCTTTGAAAATATCTACCAATAGGACAAGTCGTGTACCGTTTATGTTATTCTTAATTACGATGAAATGCTAAAAGACGCGCCGCATATAGGACCAATATTTTGTGCTACTGGGGTACAAACCTGAAATCTGAAATTGTGTTGGGCTTTTTTCTATCACAATTTTTTTCTATTTGATTTTACTAATCGTGTTTTCATTATTTATTGTAAAAATCATATTTTTTCTACTGTTTTATAGTTTGTAGTAAAATTTAGGATAAATTGAATATATTTTAAAATAAAATCACTCAAATATTTGATTCAGGAGTTGTGACACGCCAAGGTACTGATGTTTTGAATATTTATTATGTTTTTTTACAAACGTGCTTTTGAAAAAATACATTAAAATTGGGTGGACAAGTTAAAAAAACCTGGATCTTTTGTAATATACTAAAATATTTATAAAAAATATTAAAATACCCACTCTATTGACTGATGACATCAAGTTGTCCAACTTTTGTAGAATCACCCATATATATATATATGTTTTTTTCTGAAAAATTAAAACAGCCTATTTTAGGCTCATAAATCAAAATTTCGCCATTTTAGGCTTTTAGGAAAAAACAAAGGGGTGTCAAACGCTTTATTTTTTTAAGTTTAGGATTAATTTCAAGGTCACAAACAAATGCCAAAAATAGAATCAAAAAGGCATTTTGCCTAAAATCCGGTCCTTGCTTATGAGTGTTATAATACGTATTATAATATAAAAATTGTTATACCTACGCTTAAAAAAACAAATTATATTTAAATTTTTTTATTAACAAATTTATACACAAAACACCCAATTTTAATTGGTGTTAAAACAACGTTATAAACATAATCTTAAAAAAATAATACATAAAAATAATAACCAAACACATGGAAAATAGATGTATATACTTTCTAGTATTATAACTTTTAATATTATAATCGAATTCGAAATTTTCTTTTAAAAGATATCTTCTTATACCTTTGGAGCAAACCATAAAGTAATCTGGCCAATATATGTTTGTTACATCAAAGTTAAACATCCGCTTGTCGGCTTCTGATAGAGATGAATACAATTTCCTGGTGTTTTTGGTATGGAATTTCCATTCTTTTAATGTGAAAAATGTCAAGGCACTTCTTAGTTTTTCGTATCTCATGTAAATTTTTGTCAAGCTAAAAATCGTATGTATTAAGTTTTAAAAATGGTATTTTGGTCGCAAGTTTTAATTAGGCACGAGCGAGTGTTTAATTAAAACGAGTGTCTAAAAAAGTTTATAAACGAGTTGCACACCATTCTTTATCTACGACAAAAACGAGAAAGAATTTATTTGTTAAACATTTGTAATCTGACAACTGTCAAACAGATTTAACCTCACTTTTCCCCAATTTATAATAAAGTTAACTTTAGCCCGTGACTAAAACGCCATAAAGTCACAGCTTGGCAATGTGTATTAAAAATGTGGGAGTAGAATATAGTATATTATGTATCAAGTTTGATAAACGCCATTTTATAGAAAAGTTTATAAACGAGGTGCATAATATACTTTTTCTAAGACAAATACTTATTATTATACTAAAATGATTTTAATCAAAAATTTATATAGAGCGCCATCTATGAAACAATGGGGGAATCTGTGAGTCACCGTCAAATGTCACATATTTATATTTTATAAAACACAGATTATAAAGGTTATAAATCAAAATGTATTTCTTAAAAATTGACAGTTTTTCACAGTGAAAGTAAAGAAAATGTTTTATGAGGACTTTACAGTGGAGTCCGTACCCGAATTTAAGTTATAAAAGGTCAGTACAATGTTCATATAAACTTTTCAAATATTGGCATTGAGAAACTATTTATTACTTTTGTATTTTTGTATTAAGATAATAAAATAATTTTCACATTTAGTATTATTTTACAAGAAAGGCACTTTATTTTAACGATTGTATGACATTTGACAACTGTCAACTAACTTAAAACTAACTTCAGCCCGTGACTTAAAACCTGTTGCTAACTTCAGCTCGTGTATTTAAAAGGTCACTTAGTGTCATTGAAACATGTACGATAAAGGGCGTTTTAAAGGTGGGAGTAGAAAAAATATATTATTATAGCTACTTACAAAGGTTTTTTTCCTATGCATTTTAACAAAAAGTCTATAATATGATAAGGTACTGTGTGTAGAAAAAATGAATAGATGGCAAATAATGTCGTATTTGTTGTATCCAGTAGGAATGGGTACCATATTCTGCTATTTATGCCTACTTTGGTCTGAGCGTAGTTAAAATATTCTTGGACTTTACCTAAAAAACAAAAACAAATATTTTTTTATAAAAAAAAAATTTACGACATACCTACCTAACTTTATTGGATTATCACAACCGCTGACGCAATTATAAATCTCTAACTCGTTGTGATTTTTTGGACTTTTGCTAAAACAAAAACACATCAATGGGTTACCATAACAACCCGCCTATAGGCGCGCCTAACCTTCTCTTGTACGTGTCCCAGCCCACCGCGATCGTTTGGTTTATGACGTAGTCCGCCGGTATTATGTCCAAAGTGACTTTTTTGTCCCACAAAATTGTTCTTATGAAACCTAGAGTTTCTGCTACGGCTAGGCCTGTTACGCCCATGTAATTATCGACAAAACCCTCTACTGGTTCCATTTTAGTCGCCATTACTAAAAAAATAAATAGTATCGTCTTCTGAGACTGAAGAATCTTTTCTAATCTATAGATACATATATATACATTTTAAGTTCTCTCTTACAACGAAATAGTCAAAATTCTACTATTTTAATTGAATTAATACCAGCACTGTTTACTTATAAAATAGGTAGTCGTTTTCACTTTTAAATAGTTATTTTCTACTACTTAAATAGTTAAAGTTTGACTAATTTAAGCTGTCACCATCTTTGACTATTTCTGAGAGTTAAAAGTAACTAATTTCTTTAATCGTTTGCTGCCAACAACAAAGTTTTGTTTGAGTTAAATGCTTACCTATAGGCTCCATGAGTCAATCCATATGAATACGCCGAAACTCGTTGCTCGACCATCTTGGATTTTGCCATAATTTTAAAAATATAAATAAGGGTGGACTTTGTCCTTTGGGACCCTAATGAATATTTCTATAAAATTTGAGCAAAATGGTCGATCAAAGAGTTTCGGCGTTTTCATATGGATTGACTCCCATCAAAACAAACAAAGATGCAAACAGTTTAGCTTAAAACAGAAGCACAAAAATATATTCGACTTTAAAGTATTATTAACAAAATTTATTGACAAATAAAATTGATTTTTATAAAAGTGACTGATGACACATTGGTTATGACATCAGCTTGACAAGCGACAGACCAGAGTTCAAACCCTGGCTGGGTCAGAACTTTTTTAAATTTAAATATACTAATTTGACTAATTATTAGTGACTGCTTTTTCGCTATGTTAGTTATATGTTTCGCTTAGTTATTTTTGACTAATTCTTTTTAAGAGAGTACAAAGATGCTCAAAACAACAACACAAAAGATATATTAACCTTTAAAATATTATTAAAAATATTTATAGACAGATATAACTGATTTTTATAGAAGGAGCAATGTAGCCTTGGTTAGATATCCGCTTGACAAGCGACAGACCTGAGTTCAAACCCCGGATGGATCAAAACTTTTTTAATAGATTTAAATTTTTTAAATTTAAATCTACTAAATAATGTAGAATTTGACTAATTATTAGTGACTGCTCTTTTGCTAAGACAATTAGTCAAGATTTATAACACTGTATGGAGGTGAAAATATCACAGCTAAACGCTCGGACAAGTAAACTTAATTTTTGGTCGTATATTACAAATCCGTGCTTGGTTTAGCTGTATCAGGTAAAAATTCAAAGATATTTAATTTTTAAGTTTTGGAGCATCCCATAAGAAAACACCCTGTATAAATTTAAAAAAAAATTGGGCTGGACCCCCACATCAGTTTCAAATTAAAAAGAAAGTTAAATTTAAGGTTAATTGATCAAAAGGAATCAGTGCCGGTTTAACAGGGGTTTTTTGGGGACTATAGCACCGGGCGGTAAATATTTTTGGGGCGGTACCGCGTACCGCCCATAATTTAAAAAAAAATACTTAATCGTTAGAATTTAGAAAAAAAAAATTGCGTCGGCAGATACAACGGATACAAATGAGAAAAATGTTGTTAGAGTTGAAGCAGCTTCTCCATCAGAAAAACTTGATTTATTGCATGGAAACGGAATAATTTTAACTTTTTGGATAGACATTTTGCAAATGGTTAATGAAACCAATAAAGCAGTCCAAAAACAAAACTTTGATTTTTTACGTGATCATTTTGATCATTACGAGGAAATAAACAGGAAACGAAAATTATGCTCTGAAGCGGATAATCAAAAGAAAATTACAATTTGAAGAAAATAATTCAGAGGCAAATTTAAGCAAAAAAGAAACAATGCGAACAATATGTTTTATTTTAATATATTAAAATAAAACATATTATCCATTATAATGGACAATCTATAATCCGAAATCATTTGTCGATATGATAGCTAGAAATCTGGCACAAACAAATTTGAATTTTTGTTTAATCTAAAAGCATAAATCTTCGTGGAGGATTTGGATGAGTTTTTTCCTCAAAAATGTGTCCAACTCAAGAAACTGGTAACTTCCCTTTCGGAAATAAAAATAGAAACTTCATTGGAATTAGTATAAGTTTTATACGAAAATAAATTAATATCTTCATTTCCGAATATTAATATTTGTCTGCGAATTTTTTTTAAAATGGTTTCAAATGCAAGTGGTGAACGATCTTTCTCTACTCCAAAAAGGGTAAAGAACTACCTAAGAAATACAATTCCACAAGAAAGATTTAACTCCTTAGCAATTTTGTCCGTTTATCAAGACCTGCTAGGTGAAATAAATGTAGTGTTATAAAATAATTTGCTACTATAAAGACTTGAAAACATCCTTTTAATTATTAGTATTAGAATTTCTCAATATTTATTTAAACCACAGACCTTGTTTGTAGGTCTGTGATTTAAACCAAAGAATAATGTTTTATTTATTTATAACTTTTGATTAGTTTTTATTAGTTTAATGAAACAAAATATTAAACTTTTATTTTTAAATTAGTTTTTCTTAGTATTTAGTATTGTTTATATAAACCAAAGAATGTTTTAATTTTTAGTTAGTGCTTTTGAATAGTTTTTATAATTTGTTTATAAAGGCTCATTTTATATTTTATAGGATACTAAGTTTACTGTTAGATACCAGCCTAACCAACCTAATCTTCCACTTGACGTGAGAAAGTAAAACTTAAAAATTTAAAAATGTTTTTAAAAAAGTAATATTTTAAAGCATTGGGCGTTGTGTTTGTGCCAGAACCGGGCGGCGAACTATCTTAAACCGGCACTGAAAGGAATACGTGTGCCTGATGGTTTTTTTAGTTAATTTAGGAAATTCAAAATTTTTTGAGGTTAGGTTTGTGGGTATTAGGACAAGAAAATTAAAACTTATTTTAAATTCGCCGACGTTTCGAGGGCATTTACTGCTCTCTTCCTCAGGGCTAAAATACAACAATGACACAATTACTTTTATAACTAAATATTTCTAAAAACAAATTTCGTAAAAACTTTGAAGAACACTGGACTCACCTAATTCAAAAAATGTATTGACAGCTCAGTCATATCGTCAAACATATATACCGCAAAACGGCATGTACTCCAATAAAATAATCCAATACAATTAGAAACTTTCTGATAGAATGACATTACAATAACAAATGATAACGGTACATTTGAACTACTTAATTGGAAATTTTATGAAGATATGCCTACGCTGCAAAACACTACTACTAATACTATATAAATTTACCTTCAAACAGTGGCCAAAACGGGTACGCTTCGTGACACCCAAACACGAGAGATCTAAACTCGATGGGTCTAAAATTTAAAAGCGCGGTGGGTCTAAAATGTGTGGCAACGTTGTTTTTGAAACGTCAAAGGCGTAAGGCTTCGTTCACATTTTTCATAAAAAATCGTATTTTCTTAAATGAGATTCACCTACTTTCGTTCAAACAAGATTTCGGTCAAAGTAAAGTAGGTACTTCTGAAACAGACATGCAAAATTAAAAATTGTGGTGGAAAAGGTCATTCAGGGATTGTTTTGAATGAAAGGGTGGATTCCATTGCCAAAGCAGCATCAAACAAAAATACAGATAAATATAAAATCCCCTTTTTTAGAATATCGGAAAATACAAATATACAATAATAATTATTGGAATAAATTGCAAGATATACACATACCTATTGTGAGTTACATTTAAGTGTATCTTGGTGTTATCCAGGACTCATGGAGAGTTATTTTTGTAAGGAGTAGGTATGCTTTAGTTTTTTGCTTTGCCATGTATAGATTGGATTATATATTATGAAAGGAGTTATAACAAGTTTTATGACAATTTTACCAAGGAAATTGTTTAGAAGGTAGGTAAAGATTGATATAAATGTTAATGTTTAATGTACCTATATATACCTATAGGTATGTGTGTATAACTGGTGACATGAAAAAGTTTTACTTTAACAGTGACATGGAGTCTCTCAGACTCGCTGGATTATTATAATATTCTGACTAGAAAAACGAGGAGCCTCTAGGCAAAAATCCAAAAAATTACCTCCTCCACCAACTTAGATATCCTCTTAGCTTGTTGAAGAAAAGTGCAGTAATTTGGAAGGTGGTATAATATTATTTATAATGTATTTAATTAATGTTGTTCTGTTTATTACTTTTATGTCAATACTAATTAAATTTCACTGTTACAGATTTCCAAGCAGGCAGTAATTTTTCTAAAAAGAGCCCTATTCCATCAACTTCGAAAAGCACCCTAGAATTAATAAAGAACAATGTAAACAGTATAGGTAAGTTTTCTGAGCTGTTCTTAAAACTGTTAGTGTACCTAATGATTGCATTTTAGGTGAAACATTCAAAACAGGTACTAGTTGTTGTTGCAATCCACAACTGTTATATAATATATATTATATACAGACACTGTTGTTAGAAATTAATTCCAAAGTGGGAAAATGTGGAGCAGAATATCGTAAGGAAGTTTTTGAAAACTTCCTTTCAGATTCTGAAAATTATTCAGCATTGGTAATTTCTTTTTTATCCATTATCCTAGAATTTTCATAAAGTTACATTAGTGAGTATAATTTCTTATTCTAATTTATAGGTTCAGTTTTTTTCACAACTTGGAATCTATGAATTTATAAGACGTTGTCTCGCACCCATAATTACAGATAGTCTAGCTGAACAGTTCTCCTTCTTAGGGAAAAAAGGAAAAACTATGTTTGGAAGCTTATCATTAGGCAAAGCGATAATCGGTAAATAAAAATAGACTTTTAAACCCAACCCCTTTTGATTTTGCAGATTTTTTTTATATTTTTTTACCCCACTTAAAATAAAAGAATATTTCCAATTTTTTTTATCAAACTATAGAAGCATCGAACCCGCAGCTGAGTGGGTCGTGTTTCTATGTTGGTAGTTACCTGGAAACTTTTTCTTAACAATATAATTTTTATTTCAGAATGTGCACAGAAATATGAGCATTCAATTAATTACAAAGAGGCTGAGCAACGAATTGGAGATTGGTTAAGAAGGGCAAAAGAAAGAAGGTTAAGAGGAG